CTTTGTTTGTTTCGGCAACTTGTCACTGTTTATAGAAGTATCGCTCCCTCCAGTCAGCAGACGGTTCCGCTATTGCTCATTCTGATGACAACAAAAACAGAATCGTTGTATCGAAAAGTATGGCAGGAAATCCTGGAACCAGCCGGTATTTTTTTTGTTAATTAATGAAAAAGCACAGAATTCACTATTCTTTATTTCATGAGCTGTTCTTTGAGGAAAACCTTTTCTTTTTGATAATTTCAATATGTGTGTAAGAATATATTACAACAAATGTGTGATTTTTTCATTTCAAGATATAGTTCAAAACTATGCTGAGTTTTCAGATTACTTACCGCTATCGCTACTAATCTTTGATCTAAGTAAATGTGTAGCTAGGTCACTTATGATATGATAAATAATGGATTCCAAACTGCGCTTATTACATAAACTATGTTTGTATAGCGTGTATCATCTTTTAATCAATGCTTAGCTTAATTTAAGCATTGTTTACCATGCTCAAAACAGGTTCTAGAGTTGTACAGCAGCAATGTATGTTATGCCTAACGTCCATTATGCCTAACGTATATGATGCCTAACGTCCATTATGTCTAATGACTTTATTCCTAACATCCATTATGCCTAACTTCCATTATGCCTAACGTCCATTATGCCTAACGTCCATTTTGCCTAATTTCCATTATGTCTAACGTACATTATGCCTAACGTCCGTATGCCTATCGTCCGTATGCCTAACGTATTTATGCCTAATAGGGTACACTCGTATGTCCCCGAGCAGGAACGAATATCTTGATACCTTAAATTGGTATGGATGAGCAGGACATAAGAGGTAAATTACAAAATCAAAATCCCGCACTACCATCCCAATACCAAATTTTGATAATGTAATATCAAAACAATATCACACAGGTATTCTTTTAGCATATAAATATCAATTTCTGTTATTTTCAAAGTATTTTGCATGTAATTTTTTTGTATTACTGTTTGGTTTTTTACCTCTTATGTCATGCTGATCAATAACAACTTTTGGTATCTGGTTAGAATTAGGTATTCATTAGTTATTTTCTCCTGCTCGGGTCAGGCTGATCGACACCAAATTTTCATATAAGGTCAGATTTAGAGCTGGAACTTCAACTATCCGGATACTTCAGTTTTTTTTTTCAATAAAATTACTTTCAGACAAATGAAATATCGTTAAATTGATAATCAGTATACAGAATTTCATGCTTTCTAGTGCCCAATATTGAAATAAAATAAATTGAAAAAACTTTGAGATCATTATCAGGCGGATAGTAACTATCCGGATATCCGGATAGTGAAATTTCAAATTTATTTTCGCTTTAACAGTTTTATTTTTTACTGTTCTATATGTTTGTTAACAAGTTGGTTATTAATTGAAAAATAAAAATATCCGGATAATCCGAGTCCCAGCACAAGTCAAAATAAGGTAGTAATAAGTTATTTTCTCTAGCTCGGGACACAGTTCCTGAAGGAGTAAAAAGTATTCTAAAATACTATGAAATTTCTGAAAATGAGGTTTTCAACTTTTAAAAAGATTCCCAACAATCCACGAAGTTCCCTGACATCAATCTCTTATGGCATAGCTTCTATACGCATTTTAATTGATTTCTAAGAAGGTCCCTGAACTTCTGTAAAAACATAGTTTTAGAAATCTGAAGGAGTGTACGTCTTTCTCCACCCGTAATATTTAAATGTAGAAGTGAAGACATTTGTCGATCCTGCTGACTTTCACCGGAAGTGTCTGCCGACTTTCTCTGAAAGTTTCTTCCGACTTGTCCCGTATTAATTTCATCTGACTTTCCTGGATGTTTATCTCTTCTATCTCCTATCTATTCTTCGGAAGTTTCCCCCAGCCTTATCAGGAAGTTTTTCCAAACTCTCCACAAAAATCTAACAGTAACCACAGGAAATTTTTCTTAGGTTTTTGATAGTTCTACACAGAGTAAATTTCCCGGGAATGATTTCCTGTTCAATTTAGACTGTTTTCATTCAAAATGTAACTATTTCATCGAATAAGCTTCCCTAGAATTAAGAAGCGTGATTTTTTATAAAGCTCGTGGAAACTGATTCCCAGGACGTCACTGGTATTTCAATACAAGTAGATTTTTTTTAAATTACATCATTTGAAAAATCCCCCTCCTTCTTGACAGAAATCCACCGAAGGATATTTATGATCAGCAAACCGAAACTAGAAAGCCATGCAACAGAGATTCTCATGAAAATACATACATATAGGGTTAACTATCCCATTTCCGGCCTATTAAGCACAACCCGCTCTTAGTCTTTCTTAATCTAGCGCAGTTTAGCACCAAACGGAATGTTATTATCATTGATGGCTTTCAAATTTATTTACCTTTCTGTACGTACCGTAAGATTGAATAAAGAGAAATCAATCGTTGAGATATTGTCAAAAGTCTAACACTGCTTCTTGACGCCAAACTCGGCCTAACGCATTGAAACGCCACTGAATTCACTTTGGCCTATCGGATGATGATAAAAATTGATTCGGTCGGAGCGCTTCTTTTGTTTTTGGGAATAATAGGTGCAAACCTTCATACCACGCGTTCTCATTGACTTCGTTCGGTAGCTTATTGACTAAAGTATCGTACCAAACGCATAATTGACTTGTTAACTCTGAAATCATGGATTTAATTGATGTTTTCTGCTCGATAGGCCCAAAATGCGCGATTAGGCCGAAGTAGTTCTCTACCCTACTTGAACCCAGTCTTCAAAAAATCTAATGCAAAGAGAATTTAAATCATTGATTCAATCCCAGTTGTGCGTTGGTATACGTGACAAACAATCCTGTTTTCGGCATTTGTTATAACCGTACCATTTGTAAGTGTTTTTTTTTACTTGATTTGTTTTCCGTCAATCTTGATTTGAACCAATGCTACCGACGCCAGGGAGGCAGCTCCCACACCTGGACCCTACCAATCGACCCATCAACCGGGGACCAACGGCTCTACTTCCCTTCTGCAGGAAGGCTTGATCAGAGATGTTATGCCTCAGAATTTCCCGGTGGCACCGACTGGGATTGAACCCAGGTCTGATGGGGTGAGAGGTAATTATACGTACCACTATATCACAGGCGCTGCTTCTATTTGTTAGTTGAGCTGGTGGAATTTGAGTTTAAACTGATTTATTTCACCGATATTAGCTAGCCAGTTGATGTATATTTAATAAGCCTAATTGGCTCGAAACCTACACCTGGGATTAGGCAGAATCCAATAAAGGAAAACCATCCAAAATTAATTTTGGGATAAAACGCCCGACGCGGTTTCACTGGTATTTCCATCCAAATTCGTGAACAGCAATGACTAACTCGATATTTAAACTAGCCTTTCTTTCAAAAAAAAAAAATCGCTGAAATGGGAATGAAACTGCTATGAAAAACCACATCGCGCGTTGCACTCCAGGTCGTTTTGGCCTGTTTTACCCTTACTGGGAATATCGATGCGTTTTTCGAAAAAGAAAGAAAGTGCTGATATTTATAATGAATTTTATGTGTTCTTGAATTATCATACCAAGTCGAAATAGTTTACCAAGTAGAAATCATTGCCAAAAAATGAAAGTGTAGTTGATATGTCATTAGTTTTTCGGTTGCTAATCTCAATCCTATACCTGTTTGAGGAACTTAAAGGATGAGGAATCCACTACATACTGGACTTTTTTAAATGGGTTTAATGCCTCAAGGAATTCATTCGAGTAATCAACACGCTTCTCTCCACAGTGCTTGCCAGAAAGTTAATAATCCGATCTCACTGTAATCATGTTTGCCTAATAAATAGAACGCCTGTCCGGAAGCTCACAATGACGCTTTATTCAATGACGTTTTTGACTTGTAGTGGAATTAAATTCTCAGGAAATGACAGTGCATATTGGTTGTGTTTTTTTAAGGTTTAGGACAATTCTACATTAAAAAGGCGTCAAAATTGTTGATATACACAGCAAAAAATAAATTTTAATATTACATCCAAGAGGATGCACTTCAATCATGTCCAAAATTTCATGAAATTTGTATGGCCACAACAATAAACAAATGCAGAAAAAGCAGCGTAATGTGCATGCACTGTATACATGATAATTTTGTCCTTTTTGGCAAGTACTATTACACCAAATTTTCAACACGATTGAAGTGCATCCACCTTGATGTGATATTAAAATTAATTTCTGTTTTCAAACAGTTTTGATGATTTGATCTATGAATGAATCCTTGATTGAATCCATGGAGTGAATCATGCACGCAGAAATTGGAAAAATTGCATAAATAGATTTGGACAAATTAAGATTTACAAGATCGATTCAATGCTTAAAGGGATGCTCTTTGAAAACTACTTGAACCCAATGGGATTTGGTTGCTACTAATCCTACTGGTTACCGTGATTTTGGCTCGTATTTTGTACATGGGGTTGTACATGATCTACACGGTTCGAAAAAGTAGTGTAAAATTCTGTTCAATATGATGCTTATAAATGGAGCGTCACATATCATATAAGTTTACATTCTAAATCGTGTAAAGTTCTGAGACATTTCATGAAAGGTTGCAAATATTGTATACAAAAGTCAATATTTGCAAACAACATTGATTACAAGTTGCTCATTTGCGTGAAATGAATTACAAGTTTACGTGAATGAATGTTTACATCACTAATAAAATTCATAATTTTTTGCTGTGTACGTACAGTTTTCGAACCGATTTAGACCCGTCCCGCCTCCCTTAACGTAGACTTTCGTCAATACATTGTTTAGAAATCTTGATGAACCGTAGACACTCCCCTCCCTTCTTAAAGTATCTGCGTGGTTTACGAATAGCCTCTAAACAGTACCTTTTACCTGAAGGTAGTTATTGATTTGGTGACGCGTGATCTTACCTGAAAAGAAAGAAAATTATAATTATTAGCACTGAATATCAACACTTTAAATTTATCATTGAAAATGAAAATATTCATCCTGAAAAACAAAGATACATTACATTACAGTTTTCTTTCTAGTCCTATTCACCACCTCAGCGACGCTGAAAAACATCTCACATCCCAAGTCGAACCAGTTGCAAAGTCAACCCGACCCGGTTGCGCTGAACAACGACCTAGATTGGAAACTTGTCAAGGTACATATATTCAAACCGGAGCAAAATAGACAAACAAGTGACACTATATTTTTCCCAACCGTGGTTTCTCCCATTTCCAGGAAGTTGTCCTTCACGAACAGAAAAACACTATTTTCTCCCCATTCTCCATCAAACTGCTGCTGTCCTTGCTGTACGAAGCATCCGCAGAGCACAGCAAAACGAGACAGGAGCTATCACAAGTGCTAGCCGGCTCGGATCTGGAAAAGAACCGACTGCTCTATCAGGAATTCCTGGAAAGCTCCACGGTTAGAAGGCATTTTCTCATTATTTCGTCGTCATAACTTATGGACTCTGCTTGTTATCCTTGTTTGTCAGAAAGAAAACAGTAACTATCAGTTCAACGTTGGCACACGGATATTTGTCGACCGGGAGATAGCGAACGTCACGGATACTTACACCGACTTGGTGCAGTCATGCTACAGAACCAGTATTGAGCGGGTTGTGTTCAACGACTCCGTGGAGACAGCAGCCAAGATCAATGACTGGTGCTCCCACATTACCCAAGGACGCTTGAAGGGCTTGGTGGATGAAGGTATGGCGATATGCGCAGTAAGGAAATATACATTTAAATGACATGCATTTTTTTTAGAGCTTGTAAAGAACGCAGCCATGATCATTGCCAACGCCTTGTTCCTGAAGGCGTCCTGGAGGAATTCGTTCAAGGAAGAACTAAATCGAAACCGAACATTCCATGTGACAGAGGATACAACCGTGGAGGCTGAATTCATGGCGCAGACCGACATCTACGAGTATCTGAACGATCAAGATATGCAGCTCGAGATGTTGCGATTACCGTACAAAGGTCGACACTTTTCAATGACTATCGTGCTGCCATTCAAAAACAGGTCGCTGGATAAGCTGACCGAAACTCTAACTGCTGAAAACCTACTGAAACTGGAATCGAATCTGCAACGGGAAGAGATTTTAGTCATAATTCCCAAATACAAATTCGACTACAGCACCACGCTGAACGACGTGCTGATAAGGGTATGGATTTAGAGGAAGCATAATGTCGGTACTTCCCGCTTATTAAGCCAACATAAACACATTTCAGCTGGGGATCACCGAGGTGTTTACCGACGAAGCCTCACTGCCGGAACTATCAGGGGGACAGAACTCGACCTTGGAAGTGTCCAAAATAATACAGAAAGCAGGCATAGAAGTGAACGAGAAGGGAACGCTTGCTTTTGCAGCCACAGGTACGTATGGGGTGTCAGTCAAAACATTGATAACCTTTGGCACTATGATTCGCATGATAGCGTAACAAGTAACTGATTGTCACTTCTTTTTCTGTTTCTTAAATATTTTTTAGAAATTCAGTTAGTAAGCAAGTTTGGAATAGATGAAACTACTGAGTTCAATGCCAACCGGCCGTTCTTGTTCTACATCAAGGATGAAGTCTCGGACGCATTGCTGTTCGTGGGAAAGGTGGTGAGTCCAGTAGCGATAACTGCTGCGGAAAGCGGAGATTCAAGCACATGAAGAAAGAATAGCATGTAACTATTTTAGTAACCAATCGACTGCATGACAAACGAAAGATCCAAGAAGATATCTCTAATTTAATCTTTCTAAACGAGTGAATTGAAGCTTTAATTTTTTTCAACCCTCCAACTGTAAACAATCACTTAGCAGAGGAAATTGATAATAAAATACTCTCGACTGTATTTCCCCACTCATAGTCATGGGCTGTTTGTCGATGTTATTCGAACTGGTAAAATGCAAATATTTCTCAAATTGTTGGCTTGCGAAACAGTAGGTGGATGGAGAATTTGAAGGGCGTGCAAGGGATGGGGTGAATGGTGGCTTCGGTAGGTAGCACTTCACATTACAATGTTTGTCAAAAACCTGAATTCATCCAGCTACCGACAAAAAGTGTAATTATTTCTATCATTTCACTGTTATAACTGGCATAATTCGGATATCGTCAAATTAAAACAATAAAAAAAAAAGTTTATCATACCTACTAGTGATAACAATTTCAGGATCTGTTCGTTGACGTTGGAGGAAGGGCTGTCTTTATCATTATTATCAATTTTAATCAATATTTCGTACTCAATATTCGTGATCAGTAGCCAATTAAGTCTGGGTTATAGCATCCCTCAATTTATGTTCCACTCATATTAATCTATCTTGAGCAGTTGGTGGTCATCGTTGAAAAAAGTATCCTGTATTTTATTCCCACATTTGGGTAAACAGATTTCCTTAATAGCTTTTTTGGATTTATCACAGCCTTATAGTCCATGACATGGATTTATTTAACAGCATGAAACCCTGATAAAACTTGCAATGCTATTTGGTATCAGTCAACAACATGTTTAAGCTATTGACATTCTCATGTCAATATCATCATGATAACAGTTCATCATCAGTGAATTTTGTGGGCTACTTTCAAATCGACGAAGAAAGTATTTTGAGGTAGGATTACGTCTTTCGGCAACATGTTGGGGGTGCAATTTCAAAAAACCAAAATCGACCGAATTACGAAAAGAGGTCAGGTTTTGACCACATATAACTCTGTCAATAGCAGATGGATTTTGATGCTAAATAAGCCAAACGAATGGAAATTTATCTACCAATTTGCTATAATGAACACTTTTTTAATTTTCAACAGGTCACTATTGAAAAATACACAAATTTCCAACTGTTGCAATGGTGATCAAAATTATCACCGATTGCCAGCAAACAGCGCATTCCCTAACACAGATTTAAAAATCGAATTCGAGTCTGTCTCACTAAACGGTGCTCCAGTCATTCAATCACCGTGTGTGGTGGTGTCCGGTCGTCGGTGTCAGTAGCAGCAGCAGTGCTTTCAGCGTGTGGCGTTGAACATTGTTCTCCAGTACGCAACGAAAGATAGCCTGCAAGGCCCACATGAGTAACACAAGGAGGAAGAAGCCGCACCGATATGGATCGAAATCAGTTTCTTCGTGAGTGGCTGTGGGTCATCTATGCCAAGCGCGTCACCCTTGCTCCAAACATACAGTTTGCCAGCCTCATCCGCGTTGAACACCCTAATAGCTCAGCATCACTCAACCATCACGACAAAACGGTCCTTTTCAGCCACCATAAGTTTGTTAAAGATTACGTTTTGGATATCTGTCAAGGTCATCAATCGGATGTCAGTCCTCGCAAGCAGCTACCTATCAAGGCTCAACTTGGTCTATTGAAGTTGTGGTATTGTAGGTCTAAATGTATTGGTGCAATATGTGAGTCATCTATGCCAAGCGCGTCACCCTCGTTCCAAACAACATATAGCTCGCCAGCCTCATCCGGGTTGAACACCCTAATATCTCAGCATTAATCAACCATTATGACTAAATGGTCCTTTTTAGGATCACCATAAATTATTGCTGTTTTAGAGTTAATTTTCATTGAACGTTCGCTCGCCTTTCTGCCAGCCACATCACTCCCAAAGCTCTTTGATAATGTACCCAACAACCAAACGTTTGTGGTCAAATGCGTCAAGTATTGAAGTTGTACCTACATAAAAATTCCCGCAATGACCGAATACCACATGACAATGTCCAATAACCAGAAACGCTTCGTAAGGTTTTCTGGAAAAATTTGAGCAAGAAATTCCTCCAATCAATATTTACTTATTTTTATTATCTATTGAATAAAACAAAAGTTCCGTGCATTTTGTGCACATAAATGGGTAATTTTGTCATCAAAAAACGAGGCGTTTCCGCGATGGGAAAAGTTGTTTCCCTAACACAGTCACCGAATATTGATACCAAGCACTGAGCATGCCAGACAGTACCGATCTGTATGCCTTTTGTTTCAAATTTAAGCCCCTCCTATTAATAGCATTTTTTCCAAAAATAACCTTGCCGAATTGTCTTAATAGAAGGGGCTTAAAATATGCCTCAAAAAGTATAAACGTAGGTACCGTCCGGAAGGCTCATATTATTTGATTAATGTGTTTTCCCTAATAGGGGAAATGGCTCTAATGTTTATTTATTTATTTATTTACTTGTCTTCGTATAATAAAAACGCACAGACAGAATTATTAATGTCTAGTTAAAGAACTAATCCTATTTTTAAACATGGTTTTCGAAATATTAAAATCATAATCTTCACGCGATTCGTTGAAACGACGGCAGAAAACATCCAGTGGATTGTTTTGACCGTAGACTGTACGATGCTGAGGAATACGGATAAGGTCATTTTGTTGCGTCTGCCTAGCCGGTGCATTGAACTGGATTTTCCCTAGAAGTTCAGCACAATCTACATTGTTGTCCAGAATGTCGAATATGAACAGCCGTTGCAGAAGAATCCTTCTATCAGCCAATGTTGAAAGACGAATTAAATCACAGCGATCCTCGTACGGCGGAAGAACAACCGGATCGTTCCATGGTAACAGTCGTAGAGCGTAGCGGACAAAGTTACGTTGAATCTTTTCAATGCGAAAGCAAAGCGTGACGTGATACGGTGCCTATACTAGAACGCCATATTCCAGTATGCTACGCACTAGCGAACAATACAATGTTTTTAGACAGTATACATCCTCAAATTGCTGCGTGTTGCGCTTGATGATCCCTAGTATCGCATATGCTTTGGCGGTGGTTGTTGCAATGTGCTCGGTGAATTTCAGCTTACTGTCCAGTATTAATCCAAGATCCTTGATTGATGACACACGGTTGACACTTGAAGCGTTCATCTTATAATCGAAAATGACAATTGTCCTAGATCGGTTGAACGAGATGATGTTACATTTACGAATATTCACTTCCATTCCGTTTAGTGAGCACCATTCAAGAAGCGAGTCGATATCCATCTGAAGAGCGCAACAATCGACCATGGAGGTTATCAGGCGGAAGAATTTCAGGTCATCAGCGAACATGTACTTCGGTGATCTGATGAGTCCGCACAGATCGTTAACAAACAGCACTAAAAGTAATGGTCCCAAATGACTTCCTTAAGGAACCCCCGGAAGTAATTGAGAACGTTTCAATTACGTACAAAAGCCCAACGCTCAGACAAGTACGATTCAATCCATTGAGTAAGCCACTGAGGGAATCCCATGCGTTTGAGTTTTTCCACTGCCAGTGCATGCGGCACTTTGTCGAATGCTTTAGAAAGTCGACATAAACTGCATCGACCTGTTGTCGCTTTTCAAGGCTGTCCACAAGAGAAGAAACGTAGCACATCAGGTGGGTTGTTGTTGACCGCTTTCTGACAAATCCATGCTGACTCTCTGATATCACAAGTTGAACGTTACGATACAAAGAATCATGGACAATACTCCCCAAGACTTTAGGAAAGCAACTCAAAATCGAAATTGCACGATAATTTTCGACGTCATTAACATTACCACTTTTATGAATGGGAGTGATGGCTGCAATTTTCCATTTGTTGGGAAATATGCCCTCCGAAAGAGATCTGTTGAAGAGTATGGGCTATGGATCTAAGATTGGGCCCATCGCTAAACATCTGCTATTTTCAATTTTATCTAGTTGAACGCGTCATTGCGCCGGCACTAATGGATATTTTTGGTTGCCATTGAAATTTTAGTCGATTGTTGAATTTATGTATGGGCCCAAATTAGGGGCATTTAGGCCGACATTACATCCATTGCCCCTTACATATTTCATTTCCGCACTGCTATCATTTCCAAAAACATCGAGGAAAAATTTCCACAGTATTGTTCTTAACTAGCTTCCAAGCTTTCAACCCATCGGTCCTTTTCAGGACCACAAATGACTAATAAAAGAGTAAACTAAAGAGTAAGAGCTTGAATCCAAGACATATCGTCCAGAATTTGCTTGTAATGCATGAACATCTAAAGAGCACCCTAAAAACAGAACTCTCAAATTGCTTTCGAATTTCAACCTATCGAAATTTTTCACTAATAACGAGTTAAGGAATCAATTTAATATTTACTATACTTTTGCTGTAACATCATAACTACCTTTCGTAATCTTACGTCAAATCTACGGTCGTGTCTTGGATACAAACCACTTACTTTTTTTTCCAACGACAGATGAAAATGATCAACTGTTTTTTAAGCTGCGTCCAAAATCAGAATAAAAAGCACTACATCTAATCTTCTTCTGGTTTCCAGTTCTGGCTTACTAAGAAAACGAGATGACTTTCATGAGCATTGAAAAGAAAACAAACTTTGTTCAATAATTTCCCATTCCATCCTAAATTCATTTTATAAATCTATTCAATGCAGATCACAATCTTCACCAACGTAAGTGATTCGTAATTCAATAGCTGGAAGAATCGGTTTACCAATATATTATTGCAAAATGCTCCGTAAGTTTCCTTTCACCTGGTTGCTCCATCCTATCCCATCCCCAAAGTATCTCAATCCTAGACTGACCTATATACGTAAAAATTGTGAAAATGTTTGATTGATTTGAATAGACGGAACTCTCTTGGAATTGCTTTGAAGATCTCCTGGAATTATTCTCAGAGTTAATTGTAATGCCCTCTATGTATTCTTCGAAAATGTCCATGAAATTTTGC